CCCCGCCCGCCCCCCTCTGCCGCCACTACGAGAGGTGGGGCTGAGCCCTGGGGGGGGGAGGCTGGGGGGGCAGGCCCTGCTCCTGCCTCAGTTTCCCCTCCCCGTGCCTGTCCTCACTGCCCCCCCGGCCCCGCAGGCTGGTCCTCCCATACGTGCGGCACCTGAAAGGGGAGGATGACAAGCCCCTGCCCCCCAGCAAGCCCCGCAAGCAGTACAAGGTCTCCAAGGGTGCCCAGATGGGTGAGAAGACCAAGAGGGCCAAGAAGGAGAAGGGTGGGGAGCAGGTGTGTGGACACCCACCTCCCAACCCCACCTCCGTCCCTTCCCATGGGACCCCAAACCCAGGCAGAACCTGGAACTCACCCCAACCCCTGCACCCCCTTTGCCTGCAGATGCCTCAGGACAAGGTGAAGGTGGCCACCAGCGTGGAGGACACCAGGAACACAGAGGACACCAGGGACACAGCCAAGCAGGGCCAGGTGGCCAAGGGAGGCTCCAACCTGGTGGTCCCAAGGCCAAGCTCCTCAGGGGGGTGTCCTGGTCCCTGCCACCCCCAGCCCTCCAAGCGCCTTTTCTCCAGCTTCTACTCCAAAGGCAACCACCCCATCACCTCCCCCCTGGCCAAGAAGAAGCTGCTGGCCCAGGTGACCAAGGCTGAGTCCCTGCACTGCCACAAACACCCCAGCCCAGAGCCCCCCAGGCTGCCCACCAGCCCCCACCTCCATGACCAAAGGAGCCTGGAGCCACCAGGAGCTCAGGATACAGCTCCCAACGTTGGGGGTGAGGTGGGACCCATTCCCAGTGTATTTCCTGGTGGGAAAGAAGAGGAGGGGGCTCCAGCACCCACCATCTTCACCGGCTGCTTCCAGACCTACCCCAACGAGGTGGTGAAACCCACCAGCTCCCACCCCTTCTGGGGGTGCTTCAAGGATTTTTTGGAGCCCACTTCCACCATCCCATCACAAGCAGAGGAGCTGGAACAGCCCCAAGACCTACGGAGAAAAGCGTGGAGCAGGGAGCAGAGAGGAGCAGGGGCCACCCCGGGGGGCTGCTGGGTGCCCCCCAGGACCAGCTTCACCCCCGTGGGCAAGCGTGGCCGGAGGGAGGAGGAAGAGGTGGCTTTTGGCCCCACATTGGGCACCACCCCCCCCTCTGGCAGGGACAGGGGGTTGGCCAAACCCAAGGCTGTGGTGGCCAATCCTGGCTACTCAGCACCAGCACCACCAGGCCCAGACGTTTACACGGGGGCCATGCTCTATTTCCCAGCCAGTTTTGGCAACCTACCAGAGCACCTCAAAACCCAAGGGGTTCCAGTGGCACCTTCCCTCTCTGCCAACCCCTTGGTCATTCCTGTTCCTTTGGTAGCTACTTCCCCACAAAGCTCCGAGCTGTGCCGGCCGCTGGCGACCGGTCCCGGGCGTTACCCGGTGTCCTATGGGAGCACCATGAGACACAGGATCTATCCGGAGAGGTGGCACCACCAACCCCCCTACACCCCCCCAACCTTCCACCACCACACCAAGCTCTAGCTTCCCATCCCATCCAGCAGCATTCCCTAGGGAGAAGGGAGAGAGCTGGGATGGTGCCGTGGCTGAGCCGGGGCAGCGAGGAACGTGCTGGTGACAAGGGGACAAAGAGGGGACAATCAAGTGGGGTCATTTGGACTCTTGATCTTCAAGCTGTTTGGATCGTGACACCAGTGGCTTCTGACCAATATCACAAGGTTTTTATAGATCTATATGATATATACATTATACATACACAGGTAAATAAGAGCAAGGTGAGTCATGGAGATTCCTACCTTTGCGCAAGGGTGCAAAGGCCAGGAGGTGGTTATTCCCATTCCCAGGATGCTCAGCAATTCCAGACCCCCCAGTGCCTTAACGACCAGTATCCCCAGATTATAAATATACCTAATATATATATATAAAATATACATCTTGATCTAAACTAAGGGAGCAAGATGAGTTGTGGAGGTTTCTACCCTGGGGTGGCTTTGCACAAGGGTGCAAAGGCCAGGAGGTGGTTATTCCCATTCCCAGGATGCTCAGCAATTCCCTGCTCTTGCCTTAATGACCAGTATCCCCAGATTATAAATATATATATATATATAAAAATATATAAAATAAGGAAGCAAGGTGAGTCGTGGAGGTTTCTATCCTACCCAAGAGGCCATGCCCAGGTACAACTTTCCAGGAGGTTGAGCCAGGATGGGGTTATTCCCATCCCATTTCTGGGATGCTCAGGGATTCCCTGCTCCAGAGCCCTAACACTGGTGACTTAACAACCAGTATCACAAGATATATATAGAGAGACACATAAAAATATAAAAGATACCTACACATATAAAATAAGGGAGCAAATCACTCATGGAGGTTTCTACCCTGCCAGAGAGACCCTGGGCTGGCTGTGGACAAGGGTGGGCCAGGAGATGGTTATTCCCATTCCTGGGATGCTCATGGTTCCCTGTTCCCTGATGACTTAACAACCAGTATCACAAGGTTTTTTTAATCTATATATAAAAAAATGTACCTACATCTATAAAATAAGGGAGCAAGGTGAGTTGTGGAGGTTTCTACCCTACCCAAGGGGCTGTTTACAGGAGGCTGAGCCAGGAGGGGGTTATTCCCACCCCATTCCTGGGATGCTCAGGTATTCCCTGCTCCAGAGCCCTCCCAGGCTCACCCCATGTGATGCAGTTTTGGTTTGTAGGGATGGTGCCTCCACCCAGGGCTCTGGAGGGTTTTTGAGGGGTTTGGGAATGTTGGGAAGTGTCCTGGTGGCAAAGGCAGAGCCTGGATTCAAACTGGTTGGATGGTCCCAGTCTGGTGGTGTTTGGGGTGGCCTTGACTTCTGGGGTCAGGGCAGGGTTTGGGGGGATCCCCACCCTACACATTGAGCCTCCAGAGGTGTTTTTGGGATGCCACAGGGATGGGCTGAGACCTACCTCTGGAGCTGCTCCATCCCATGGGGAAGGAGGTGTTTTCCTGCAGTCACATATCCACGTTGCCAACCAGCCCAGCAACATCTCCAGGTGCTTTTTGCCTCCAGGAGCTCCTGTCAAGGTGTTGCAGGTGACACAAAGGCTTGGTTGGAGCTGCAGGATGGGCTTTTCTCATGCCCAGTGCACCCCACAAGTACATCCACTCATTCCCATCCTGGACACCAAGGGACAGAGGGACAAGTGGCACTTGCATGTCCCCAGAGAAGGTTATGGCTTCAGGTAGAGCAGCAGCAATAAGTCAGCTTTTAAGGAGCACTTCTGATGTCTCCATGGAAAGGAAAAGCTTTGGGATAGGAAGTGGAAAAGCAGGATTAGCCACAGGCAGCACCAATCACTTCATAATGTTTGGAGCATTCGACGTGTCAAGAAGAGCAGCATCATGGAGCCAACCATGGACCCAACTCCTGGGTCCTCCAGCCTGGACATTGGAAAGGGATCACATGGGCTGCAGGTCACCCCAGCTGCACCTCGAGAGCTTTGCTGCCAAGAACCCCCAGTTGGTGAGCAAGGAGGTGGCCATGGGGCTTGAGACTTCCCACCTGGGAGCCAGGGCACTGGAGACACCACATCCTGGAAGGCATCACAACCTCACAACCTTCTTCCAGTTATTCCAGGAGAGAAATGGTGGCTCCAAGCCTGGAGAAAGAAAGTTGAGATCCTTAAAACCACTTCAGGTCAACAGCAGAACCTTGGGGTTCAAGGTCATCCCCCACCCAACCTCCTCCCTGGGGGGAGCTTTGCTGAATTGAATCCATATTGATGTCCAAGTAAAATGTTGCCCTTTTTTTTGGTTATTCCTCAAAACTCTAGGGAAAAGGGAAGAAAGGGTTTGAGGTGCTGGGAAAGTTCACTGTCCTCAAGCCCACTACTCACCATGGTGGAGGTGGGAAGTCTGGTGTGTTGAGAGGCTATGGAGGTAAAGCAAGATGGTCCCCAAAGGAGCTGGAGAACACCTGGAGCGTGTGTAGAACCTGGAGGAGCAGGAAGGGACTCAAGGCATCTCCCTCTTCTCATGATGAGCAACCAGAACCATCAAAGGGGATCATGGATCTTCTCCTGCTCCATTTCTGGGTTCTCTGTAACAAACATCTTGCTTCTGCTCTGGGGTGTGATGTCCCACATTGAACCAAACCCAGGATCTTCTGGTGAGGAAGTGAGTGGAGATTTCGGCACCGTGCAGGTGGAGGGAGCTCCTTAGGCTGAGGATCAAGTCCCCTTTCAGAGGGACCTGGACAGGCTGGAAAGGTGGGCTGGTGCAAACTGCATGAAGTTCAACAAGGCCAAGGGTAAAGTTCTGCACCTGGATCAGGGCAATTCCCTGTGAGGGTGGTGAGAGCCTGGCCCAGGTTGGGCAGGGAAGCTGTGGCTGCCCCATCCCTGGGGGTGTTGAAGGGCAGGTTGGATGGGGCTTGGAGCAACCTGGGCTGGTGGGAGGTGTCCCTGCCCATGCAGGGGGTTGGATCTAGATGGTCTTTAAGGTCCCTTCCAACCCAAACTATTCCATGATTATCCATGAGAACCACAAGAAGTTCCCAGCCTTAAGCTCTGTCCCATGAAACAAGCCCCAGCACCCAGTGACGGCCCCAGGGTGGACACTGGTCCTGAGCCCTGACAAAACCCCCTTGATGGTGCTGAGCTCTGACTCATCTCAGCACCTTCATGTCACCCCCTCCTGCTCCATCCCTCCTTCCAGGCAGAGAGACCTGGCTCTACCCCTGCTTTGCTGACACCATCACAACCACCAGAATGAAACCAAAGCTCAGGGCAGATGAAAACTGGGCCATTCTCAACACCCATGAACACTACCAACCATAGGAGGGATCAGTTGAACCTCCTACCCCAAGGGAGGCACCAGCACAGGCAGGAGCCCAAGAGAAACCAGCCCCAGCAACCAGAGCAGCTTTTGGAAGGGACATGGGCAAGGGAGGCAGCAAAGAACCAAAAACCATTTTATTAAACAGCAACAAAAAAAAAAATCAGAAAAACCATCTCCCCACTTTCCCTGACCCAGCCCCCCAACCTCCATGGGGCTGCTGCTCTCCCACCCCATGGCCAAGCTCAGCCTTCCTCAAACACCTGGTGGTGGACAAGGGTTCCCAGGGGTCCCTACAGCCAAGCTGAGTCTTCCCCAAGCAGCTGGTCATGGCTGGGGGGTCCTGGGGGTCCCCACAGCTGAGCTTAGTCTTCCTCAAGCTTCCAGTGACAACCAAGGGGTCCTGGGAGGGGGGGGTTCCCATGGCTGAGCTCAGTCTTCCCCAAAGATCTGGTCATGGCTAAGGGGTCCCAGGAGTCCCCATGGCCAAGCTCAGTCTTCCCCAAGTCATCTGGTGGTGGCCAAGAGGTCCCAAGGGGGTCCCCCATGGCTGAGCTCAGTCCTCCCCCAGCACACCCAGTCTCCCCAAGCATCTGGTCAAGGCTGAGAGGTCCTGGGGGTCCCCATGGCCATGCTCAGTCTTCCTCAAGGTCTCAGTGGTGGCTAAGAGGTCACAGGGGGGTCCCCATGGCCAAGTTCAGTCTTCCCCAAGCACCTGGCCATGGCCAAAGGGTCCTGGGGGTCCCCATGGCCAAGCTCAGTCTTCCCCAAGCACCTGGCCATGGCCAAGGGGTCCTGGGGGTCCGTATAGCCAAGAGGTTTTCCCCAAGCACCTGGTGGTGGCCGAGGGGTCCCATGGGTCCCTATGGCTTCTGGCTGAGGGTGGGCCCTGCTGTGGCCATACCAGAGGAGCTGGCCAAGCTGGTGCCCAGTGTGATGAGCGTGGTGCCAGCCCCTCCTGGCACCACACCCTGGGGCAGCAAGTGTCTGCTGGCCAGAGCCTCCCTGCTGTGGATGATGGTGCTCCCGTCGTCCACCACGGAGGGAACCCTCCCCAGGGTCTCCACTGCCCCCAGAGAGTGGCTGAGGGCCGTGGCACTCTTGGTCAAGGTGACTTTCTCCCCAGTGTGTCCCAAGGGTCCATCGCCCTTCACCAGCGCGGAGGTCAGGATGAGGGTTTTGGAGGAGGTTTGCAGGACAGGTCCCACCTTTGAGTGCACCAGGCTGGTGGGAGGGCTGGGAGTGCTGGCCAGGGGGGAGGTGGAGAAGGTGATGGCTCCGGTGGGAGAGCTGGCAGATGATGAGGAGGAGGAAGGCTGGATGCCTGGCAGCTTGAGGGGGACAGAGGAAGCCTCACCCATCACAGGCTTGGTGAGCGCAGACAACTTGGCATCCGACATCACGTAGAGCGTCTTCATGGGGCTGGTGGTGGTCACTGTGGAGAAGGGGACAGCAGGGTCAGTGGCCTCCATGTGGGGACATGGTGCCCACCAGGAGCTGCAGCCCCCAGCCCCAACCATGAAGTCATAGGCTTTGAAAGTGAACAGGAAGACCCAGCCTTGTGTGCTGTTCAGAGACCCCCCGAACAAAGCCCAGCCTGGGCGGGGAGACCTCAACAGCCAAACTGGGGCACCACCAGCACCTTCCTAGGCTGCTCAGGTCCCCTGAGGAGGCCTCTCTCTTCCCTCAGTGTCTGATCTTCTCCCCCCAGA